ATAAGAAAACTGTTGAACCGAATGCTTGACGTATTTGTAGGGGAACAACGTCAATGCCAGAACAAAGTACAATTACAATGAATTACTATTGATTATTTGTTTTTAATAAGAATATCTTTTTTTATATACTATTTTTGAAACAAAGCATGAGAATTTCATATTTTTACATACACATTTTTGTTACAATTTTGTCAGCCAGCCAACNAAAAAATATTCAGCATTTGATACAGCGCCATTTTGAAAACGCTTTTCACTTCAGTACGACGCATAAATTTATAATGCCGAAATGAAATAAAAAATGCAATGTGGACATTACGACAGAAGAAAATACTTAAATTTTACTACAAAAACTGTTTTTTACCAATAGCTTAATTTAGATATCGAGTTGGTCAGAAAGAGGTTTAATGAATTTCAGCCACCGGTGCACAGTGGTTCAAAACTGGAATTTAGTATTCATAATTCACTGGAGCCTTCATTTTTCACTCAATTTGTTAATTTTTAATTTTTATTCTAATTTGCGAAAGACCAGTTGAGCCCGATTTTTGAGTTTTGGTTTGTTTGTATTAAATTTTTTAATGCAAAGTGCAAAAAAGGAAGCAATTTTGAAGAAAATCTACTCTCCATTTCCAGTTAGTAAATGTTACATAATAAAAACTAGTTGAAAACAATAGATGGGTTCCCCGAAACGAAAAAAATCACGTAAAAAAATTAAATGTTATACAAAAATTTTCACCAAAATTAAAAAAAAAAATTTTGAGTTTCTAGAAAAATTTTGGGTATGCAGTTTTATAGATCATTAAATTTTAGTATAATATCGCGTTGATTATCAATAATTTTTAGCTAACATTTCGAGCACATCTGCATTGCTAAATGAGAAATAGAAGCGTTTGTTATATTATTACAAATGAATGCACTTTATTATACCAAAATTTAATGATCTATAAAACCGCATACCCAAAATGTTTATAAAAACCAAAAAAAAAAATAAATAAATAATTTTTGTGAACATTTTTTGTAACAATTCAGATTTTAATTTTTTATTTTTTATTTTTTTTTGGGAGGTGTAGAGTCCTCACTTTGCTTTCAACTAGTTTTCATTACGTAAGATTTATTAACTGGAACAGGAGAGTCGATTTTCTTCAAAATTGCTACTTTTTATATACTTTGCACTAAAAAATTCTATACAAACAAACAAAAATAAAAAAATGTCGAGCTCAACTTAAAAAAATTAACAAATTGGGCGAAAAATGAAGGCTCCAGTGAATTATGAACATTAAATGCCAATTTTTAACGACTGTGCGACGGTCCTTCAGGGCGATTTCTTGTTAGTTTGCTTTATATCAAATAGGCAACAATTGATCAATTTGCGTACAGTATTCACTTATTTTAATAATAAAATCAAATATTCTTAGCTTTTCTACAATTTATCCCTCTTGTCCAAAGTCTTCAGTGAACTTGCGCAGCTTTACTAGATCATCATCGTTCACAGTGGGTTTGGTGCGAGACAAGGACTTCAGCATGTCACGCTAAAAATATAAAAAATATTTATTTTGTTAAACAACAAGCAACGAACAAATAAAAGACTCTTTAATTTGTACCATAGTAACTGGAGGCTCAAATAATTTATCACTGGGCACATCC